AAATAACGCGCAACACAGAAAACAGCGCGCCGAACGCATTGGCAGCATTTACAGAATGATCTGGTCGTGCAACAAAAACGCAGCACAACGCACGTTGGGGCGAAATAGGACAACTCATTAAAAACATCACGGTGCGTCGCAGGTAACCAAACCACGCAAGCAACATGATGCATCGCTCGGACCAGCGACCATCATGCCTGTGTTTTTTCCGTTCGAAGCAACAGGACGCGCTTAACGCGACAAGCGAATCAATCAACGCAGCTGCCATGCAGTTTAACAGAACAGCATTTAGGTGACGCTCTGTCCGCCAAGCTGCGCTTCCATGGCCGCCGCGTCGACGTCGATAGGAACGCCGCGAACGGACGCAACAGCGTTGGAGTTGGTGGCGTCGAACTTCGCCTGGTGCTCTTGGCGCGCCGCTGCCGTGGATGCCTTCGCCGCAATCGTGTCCTCGCCCGCCGCGCGAATGACGGCGTCGCGCGTGGTGGCCAAGCTGCGCATCCCATGATTGATTGTCGTGGGCAGGTCGAGCTGGGGGGCCTATCCTACCATCGGCACTGGAGCTGTTTGGTTCGAACGCGGAGACTGCGACGGCAGTCGACACGTAGCGGTCGATGCAATTTCTGCAGCTGCGGGGCAGCTCGCTGCAAAGAACGAATTCGGAGAGCATCCTGGCGCGCGTGGCCCCGCCCCCTAGGCTGCGCGCAAGATCTGCGCCCCGGAGAGCGGGCGCGGAACTTGAGCCACGATGGATACGGATGATGGTGATGATGATGGTGCTGATGACGGCGGCAGTGATGGTGATGTAGAGTTGATGATGATGGTGGGGACGATTAAGAAGAAGATGCTGATGACGATGCTGGTGGGGAAGATTGGGAGAACGATCCATGCCGAACGCGCTGCAATTCGCGCGCGCGCGCGGGGCGACAGCCGACAAGCCACGCATGTCAAAACGATGCGATTGTGGGTCGGGCCCGCGCTCCGGCTTAGGGAATCTCCCCATGGGGCCCTTCGGCGGGAGAGGCGCCTTCTACTTCCCCCATCGTAGGCTTCGCGCAGAGAGGGGGCATCTTTCACTTCAGCCTGCTCCTAGCAAAATGCCCCTGCAAGCTCCCCGCTGGTGTCTCTGCGCATGTATGCCGACCCGCCGCTGCCGCGCCTTCAATCTCGATCCCTTCTCCACGCCCCGTCGTCTTTCTCTTGCCGCGGCTGCCCCTCTGCCCCCGCGCTCGCACAATCTGAATATTGCTTTCCTCTCTCCCCCGACGACCCCGAGGTAGTAGCCTGCGCGCTCCGTGTATTTTTCTACACACAGGATCCCCTTAGAGGTGGTCGATCATATGTGTTGTTTCCAACCCCTGCTTTTCGATGTTTCCATATGGCTCTCCAGTTACAGCGTCGGCTCCATGTTCTGGCTGTCGGCCCTTTCAAATCATACTCCCGCCGCAGCGCTGACCTCTTGTCTGCGTTGCGGATCTTTCAATTGATGGTTCCGATACAGCGTTGACTCTCATGTAACGCTTCCGCGCTGCCCGAACCATCTGGTTACATGGTTCGTACTGCGCCATGTTTGATTTCTCTGAGAACCTGCTGGCTAAATCACTCGTGTTCTCGATCGGCGCCGTACTTTGCGTTGGAGCGTGTCACTACAAACTGCCGCGCCATGCTATGGCATGTTACGCTCTGCCGTGATCCTCTGCGCCGTGCTACGCCTTGCGCTACACCATGGCATCTCGTGCCCTCTCGGGATCAACATCCTGCTTGATATCCGACTGTGCGAATGGAGGGGCGACTTTCGCCATGGTAAGGGATGACAGAGAAGGGTCGGGCGTCATATAAAACGCTTGCGCACCTAGCTTGCCCTCCCCCCTCGCCCTCCTCTTCCCCCTTCTCCTCTTCCTCCTCCTCCTCCTCCTCCTCTCCTCCTCCTCCTCCTCCTCCTCCTCCTCATCCTCCTCATCTGGAGCCTCTGCCGGGTTTGTCCCGCTTCGCAAGACATCCCAGGAATCAGAAGAGGACCGCGACGTTTGCGCCGACGAGGACCTCCGCGCGCGCCTCCATGCCAACCTCGAAGAACGCGGAGCCGAGGAACCTTCGCTGCACCGCGGCTCGAAATTGCAGGAGGCCCAGGGACCGCCATCACTGCTGGTTGCAGGGCGCATCCATGGGAGGCTCTATCTCCTCCACCTTGGGCGCGCCTTCCCTACGTACGAGCGAGGCCAGCTTCCGCTTGAACGGCTGCTGCTTGAGTCTGCGACTCATCGTCGTCCTCTTGTGGCTGAATGCCCCCAACGTCTGGGAGTGCATCTGCTGGACGATCGCCTCGTCGTCAGCAGTCAGCGGCCCTCCGTGACATGGCACGTCTTGCGGCGGGCTATCGGCCCCGCCCTCCCCCTCAGAGCCTTCGACCAGGGCGGGGGGGACACCCCTGGTCGGAAACTGCGTAGCCGACTCCTCCAGGAGCAGGGCCGCCTCGGCGTGGCCGTCGGCCTCCACCGCCCGCGGCGCCAGTCTCGGCCAGCCAGCCTGACCCTGGAGGGCCCCGGGCGGCCCTGACCCCCTCGAGCAACTTGAGAAGCAACTGGCGCCACATGAGCAGAGCCGCGCCTGCGGAGGCAGTACCTCCCAGCAGCTACCTGCCCGCAGGGACCCGTCGCCGATCGGAACGAACGGAGCGGCGTCGGCATTCAGGGTCGACCACACGATCGGCGCCAGCTGCTCCCTGTCGCCTGGCCTGCTTCTCTGTATCTTGTTGAGCTTGCGCAGCGAGAGACTTTCGATATCCTCCATCGGCACGTCGAACACGTGCAGGGCGACGTTGCGGATAACCTTGACCACATGTGAGTGTACAGGCGCTGTACCTCGCCTTCTGGCCGCGATCTCCTCAGCGAAGATGAGAACAATGGCCTCGACTCTCCTGTTCAGCTCCGGGTCGGCATCCCAACTGCCTCGCGCCACCAGCAGTTCTTGGGCGCAGGCCGCCTGTGATCAAGCAGTGGCCAGCTCGTCCCCGAGGCGCTTCACCAGCCGATTCGATGCCTCCCGTGCACGTGCCTGTCGGGCACGTCGATCTCCAGCAGCAATCAATGGGTGCGACCTTCTACACCCTCCCGTAGCCATTCCTCAAACACGAGCACCGTCCCGCTGCAGGGCCAGGAGCAACCATGCGGAGCGGGCCTGAGCAGTGGGGCTTCGCGCGCGAACGGCTTGAGCCAAAATGGCTACGGATCTCTCCTCCTCCTCCTCCTCCTCCTCCTCCTCCTCCTCTTCCTCCCTCCTCCTTGTCCCCTCCTCCTCCTCCTCCTCCTCTTCCTCCCTCCTCCTCGTCCCCTCCTCCTCCGCCGCTTCGTCCCTCGTCCTTTCCTCCCCCTCCTCACCCCTCCTTCTCGTCGTCGCCCTCCTTCTCCTCCTGCTCCTCCTCCTCCTGCCCCTCCTCCTCCTCCGTTTCTCAGGCATGCTGTGGGGGCGATCCGCCCACGGCGTCGGCCTCCTCCTGCTTCTTCTCTCTCCTCCTCCTCCTCCTCCTCCTCCTCCTCCTCCTCCTCCTCCTCCTCCTCCTCCTCCTCCTCCTCCCTCCTCCTCCTCCTCCTCCTCCTCCTCCTCCTCCTTCTGCTTCTCCTCCCCGTCTTCCTCCCCCTCCCGGCGGAAAGACCCACGGGCGCCAGAGTTGGCCCCCTCCCTCCCTCCCTCCCTCCCTCTCCCCCCTCCTGGCGCAAGATTCCACAAATGGCGATCCGCGGTCAGACCCACCCTGGAGGGGGCCGCCCGGGGCGCCGGCCGAAGGAGTCCTGACCAGTGGCGGCGTGGGGGGGGTGCGCGCATCGAGGCGGGCGGAGGAAGATCCTCAGAAGGAGGATCGACCGTACGGTGAGGGCATTGGATCAGGAGCCCGGTGGAACTCCAATCGTGGATCGGTCATGGGTACGACCGCCGCCCTCATTAGATGAGGAACCCTCCAGGGTCTGAGGCCTCGTTGAGATTTTTCTTAACGAACGCCCCCACCGTAGTTGAGGGCGCAGCCAGTTATCCCGACGAGCCTAGCAGCGAATTGCGTGCGAGGCGGCGGTGGGTGCTGCGACCTGCCGTACGTCCGTGCGCTGGTACCCATGGGCCGCCGCAGCTCTGGATTTGTGCAAGGTGTGGAAGGCGAGGGCGCATATGGGCGCATCGTACCAGCACGCGAGATCACGAGGCAGGAGGGTGAGGAGCGTCGAAAGACTCGAGGAGAGCGACTCGCGGGCGTTCGGGACCTTTTTGGGGGTCTTCGGGGGTGTTTTTCGGAGGTGGGTCGGGGGCGTGGAGGAGAGCGGATCGAAGATTGGCTGCGGTGGGTCGCAGGCCTCTGTCGGCCACGCCGGTCGTATGGAGCCTGACCATCGCTGGCTGCACACCACTGGACCTGCGATATGCGGCATGCCGCGCTCGCCTGCTACGAGAAGGAGCGACCTACAGTCAATCGATCCCACCATGGGGCGGAGGAGCCAGCTAAGAGCAGGACATGATAGCCACAAGTTTTTGTTGGTGGAGCAACCTGCTGCAGAAACTCAGGCACCTACTAATTGCTGGAGGCTCAATGAGACGACGAGTGCACGTAACGCTGCCGACTTCAACTGGACGGACCACTGCTAGAGCAAGGCAGCAAAAGGGCTCGAAGACTGGTTCGCTGCCGCGCGTCCCTGCCCCCCGCACCCCCACTCGATTGAGCACAAACCTGTTCTGGCTCAAGGTCGCCCACTCCTTTCAAAAAGTACTGGCCCAAACGGCTACTGAACCCATCCAGTGTCTCGCCCAAGTGAGCACAGTAGATCTGAACGATGCCCCGCCGATCTGCTCCATCATGCGTCGTGACGCCTTGCTTGTCCAACTGTGCTCATCCAACACGACCCTCGCAAACTCCCGCAATAATCATGCCACACTCTACGCCCCTCTGCCTGATTTTCTGGATCGACAACTTTCAGCCTCTCTTCGACCCCTCCAGTTCCAGAGCGGCACTGGCGGGCCCATCCTCGAAATCTGCGGCAAGACCGAGCATCGGCGTCTGCGCCTGTGCGGGCGATAGCGGGTAGAGCCGGCCCCCTTTTGCTCCTCCTGCCTGCCAGCTTCTCCGATTCCTTTTCTTCCTTCCTCCTCATTCTCAACGCTTGATCCTCCTCCTTCCTCCTTCCTCCTGCTTCCTCGCTCCGCCTTCCCTCCTCTGATCCCGCAGAGTTTCTGCCCATCGGCGATACGCTCGGCAATCGCAAATATTTGGGCTTAACACAAACCTCTTTGACACCACGCAGCGTCGTCGCCTCCTCTGCTTTCCGAAGGCTCCTTACACAAGTCCACACAAAAATTGAACAACGTCGTCCTTCAGTCAAAGGGAAGCCCCTTCCCTTGATCCCTTCCCCGCCGGGGGGGCGGCCTGGGGCAACTCCCGGAGGGGTTCCCGGGGCAACTCCCGGGGGAGGCCCCCCCTCGGATACGCAGCCCCCGCCTCTCATCCTCCTGCGTCCTGGGGTTCCGTTGGCCCTCTGGGGCCGTCTGCGGGCTCTTTCAGCCTATCTAAAGGCTCCTTGGAGACCTTTCGCAATTTTTAGACTCTCTTGGCAGCCTCTAGCGGCACTCTTGACAGCCTCTGAGGGCGCTTTTGGACCTCGCTTGACGCCGTCTTGGAAACCTCTCGGGCCACTTGAGGGCGCTCTTTGCCAATCTTGGCACTCTCTGGAGCCTTCCGAACCCTGGAGGAGGCCTCTTGAGCCACCTTCGGACGACCTTGCAGGCATCTGGCGCCGTCTTCGAGCCATCTGAGGGCATCTTGGACTCCTCTACTCCTCTACCTCTGTCTACTCCAGGGTCGGCGGCATCGGCCGCAAGGCCTTCGCAATACTTCGGCTTAACACAAACCTCTTTGCAATCACACCTTTTAATTGGAGAACACAGCCCGGGACCAGACTGGTGGGCGCCAACTGACAAACAATGCTGCCGCAACAGCCTCTCGAGAACTGGACAACGGCAACTCGCTACGTAATTGACTTGGCCGTCTTTCTCTATGTGTACATATATATATATACCTATACGACAACCCTGCGGGTGATAAGGAGGTGAGGGGGAGGGGGAACCAACGTCTCACTCAATCGATCTCGCTATCGATCTCACAATCGATCTCACATTCGATCTCACTATTGATATCACTGTCAATCTCGCTATCGATCTCACTATCGATCTCACAATCGATCTCACAATCGATCTCACATTCGGTCTCACATTCGGTCTCACTGTGGATATCACATATCACTATCGATCTCACAATCGATCTCACGATCGACGTCAGCATCATCATCATCATCATCATCATCATCATCATCATCATCAACATCAACATCATCATCATCATCATCATCATCGCCATCATCAACATATCGATCTCACAATCGATCGCACATTCGATCTCACTATCGATATCACTATCGATCTCGCTATCGATCTCACTATCGATCTCACAATCGATCTCACAATCGATCTCACATTCGGTCTCACATTTGGTCTCACTGTCGATCTCACTATCGATCTCACAATCGATCTCACAATCGACGTCATCATCATCATCATTATCAACATCAACATCATCATCATCATCATCATCATCATCATCATCATCATCATCGCCATCATCAATATCATCACCATCATCATCATCATCACCATCATCATAATCATCGGGGACCATCACTGTGGGGACACCGACGGGACACCGACGGGACACCGGCGGGACACCGCGCGCCACCAGCCGCCCGGAAGAGACACATTTGGTCCGGCCGCGCCTCAGCCACAGGGACACCGACGGGACACCGGCGGGACACCGGCGGGACACCGCGCGCCACCGGCCGCCCGGGGGAGAATCGTTTGGTCCGGCCGCGCCTCAGCCACAGGAGACTTTCTCTCGCCCGCCCACGCAGCTTCGCCTCGCCCGCACGCACGGCACGCACGAACACGAAACCGAAATCGATTTCCCGGTAGGGGGGCTCTCCGTTCCACTTCGATCTCACCCCCTCACCTCCGATACATATCTATATTTATATTTATATATATATATCAAACTCCGACAACAGTGCCTCTTATCGCAAATCCTCTGTCACCCATGTTGTTCTGAAGACTGTTTGTTCTTGGCAGACGTCATTGATCTCATCCTTGTGTTCGCATATCGCGTCCTTCACAAAGCCATAACTGTCCTGCTGTCGCTTCACCTGCCTATTTTCGGAACGCTCCACCGATCATCGTGGCGGCAACAAACTAGAACGTGTCAACAGCACGTGCCGCAAGTTTGCATTTCAACACGGTGGTAGCCGAGCAGAATCCCACCAGCCCTCTGGGTGTATATTGTCTAGGGTCTAGGGAACTTATGTTTCTTGTTCTTCTTCCAACCCACTTCTTCCCCTTCGGAGAAAAACTAACCACTGCTCCTTCTCAGTGCCCCCCCCCAACCGACCTGCCCCCCCCTTCCCAACTCGACCAGCTGCCAACCGGGGGCCCCTCCACCATCCCTGACAAACACAATGCACAGTCAACGTAGCGGCAAAACCTGGATCATGAGCGGGACCCCCGCGAGCACCTGGCATTGGTTTTTGCCGAGAATGGCGGGGGGATGGCGTGAGCAGGTTTGTCCGCTGTGCACTGCTCAACTATCCCCGTCAAAAACCGATGCGAACCTGTTGACGGTGCACACACATACACACACCATTGTTCATGCTGCCAACCCCGCCCCACTTTGCAACGGTTCTTGACAAGGATGGTCGGTGGATCGACATGTTGCCCGATGTTTTTCCCAACCATCCTGTGGTGTTGGGTCCTCGTTTTGAAGAGACGGTGCCCCGCGTTCCTCCTCCTTCCTCCCGCTGCCCCCTCCCCCTCCTCCCTCCCCCTTGCCTCTGCCCTCCGCATGTCTCTGTTTCGGCACATCCCTCACGCGTTCCGTGGCCCCATAGGGAGCTCCACCGAAGGCCCCAGTGGCAGGGTCCGCATGGCGGCCCCGCATTTTGGCGCACCCCTCACACGGTTCGTGGCCCCATAGGGAGCTCCACCGAAGGCCCCAGTGGCAGGGTCCGCATGGCGGCCCCGCATTTTGGCGCACCCCTCACACGGTTCGTGGCCCCATAGGGAGCTCCACCGACGGTCCCAGTAGCAGGGTCCGCATGGCGGCCCCGCATTGGGGCGCACCCCTCACACGGTTCGTGGCCCCATAGGGAGCTCCACCGAAGGCCCCAGTGGCAGGGTCCGCATGGCGGCCCCGCATTTTGGCCCGCCCCTCACACGGTTCGTGGCCCCATAGGGAGCTCCACCGAAGGCCCCAGTGGCAGGGTCCGCATGGCGGCCCCGCATTGGGGCGCACCCCTCACACGGTTCGTGGCCCCATAGGGAGCTCCACCGAAGGCCCCAGTGGCAGGGTCCGCAGCGGGTTCGTGGCCCCATGAGCAGGGGTCCGCATGGCGGCCCCGCATTTTGGCGCACCCCTCACACGGTTCGTGGCCCCATAGGGAGCTCCACCGAAGGCCCCAGTGGCAGGGTCCGCATCCGCATGGCGGCCCCGCACCATTTTGGCGCACCCCTCACACGGTTCGTGGCCCCATAGGGAGCTCCACCGAAGGCCCCAGTGGCAGGGTCCGCATGGCGGCCCCGCCCCATTTTGGCGCACCCCTCACACGGTTCGTGGCCCCATAGGGAGTTCCACCGAAGGCCCCAGTGGCAGGGTCCGCATGGCGGCCCCGCCCCATTTTGGCGCACCTTTCACACGGTTCGTGGCCCCATAGGGAGCTCCACCGAAGATGATGCCCACAATTGCGGTATCAACAATTGCTTATGGTTGGGTCTTTCGCCAGGGTAATTTTTTTATGTGCTCTGCTATGTGCGCTGGCGCACCTGGCGCAATCTGTGCGCGTCGAGCACCTGGCGCACCTGGCGCGGCCGGAGCAGGTCGCACACTTAACGCACGTGGCGCCTCTGGCGCACCAGGCACGGCGGGCACCTGGTGTGCGCAGCGCAACTGTCACGCGTGGCGCGCACCGCGAGCGTAGCACACCTGGTGTCAGTATTGGTTCCCCATCGGCGTCCGTCCGATGGCGACATCTGCCCACGCTGAATCTCGGGTGCTATTGAAACAGTGGGAAGGCGGGTGGGAGTGACCGAGAGTATGTGGCGTTCCCGTCGGGAACTTCACTCCTCCCTACCCCTCCCATGGGTCTGTACCCCTCCCCCGCGAAGGGTTAAAGTACCCAACATGTCTCCAATATGGTCCCAGATACCCCAACATGGCGCAATGTAGCTCGCGTTGGGCCAGCATGGCGTCCAGCATGCCTTCGAGAAGCCACGATCTGCTTCCACCACGACTCCCAGGGGCCTCGAAGCCTCTCCTGGATGATCGGATGATCCCCAAAAGCCATAATTATTCATACACCTAAGGCTTTTCGATGATGTTGAGCTTCTAGCTTTTTCTCTTCTGGTCGGCTGTTGACGTCTCACGATGGCCCCAATATCGCCCAAGAGGTCTCCAAGAGGGGCACAGAATGGGTCCAAGGAGGCCCGAAGGACCCCAAGAGTGGTCCAGGAGCGTCCCAGGAAGGGCCCACGATACGATCTGTTCAGACTCCTGAGTGAGGTGGGGGATAATTCAGGACCCCTCCTTTCCTGTTTGATGTCTTTCAAGGTGGCCCCAAGATGGCTCCCAAGACGCTTAAGAGGCTCCCCGAAGCTCCCAGACTGGCCCCAAGAGGGCCCCAAGATGGCTCCAAGCTGACTCCAAGAGGCTCCTAAATCGAAAGGCCCAGTAAGGCCTTTCTGGTTGACTCCCGTTGTTGTCGTCGTCACCGCCGTCTCACTCCCCCGATTTCCTCCTCCTCCTGTATCCTCCACGCCTTCCTATCACCTACCCGAATGTCCACAGGAAGCGAAGGCATGTATGGTCGACTCCTGGCTTCTTGTTGCCTCTCCCCAGTCACGGACACCGCCAGAGGCAATCATCAAAACTGAACTTCGCGCCGCCTTCAAAGGGGGGTATCAACTTCTAGAAGG